ATCCTTTCCGGACTTGTCAAGTGCGTGACGGTAGTATTGATTGATATCATCAATGACAGGTGGTCGGAGCTCAGAGCAGGGCGAGATTCAATACTAAGCATCCAGTCTGGGTGATCCCTGTAATTGCAAGCGGGTCTAGGGGCTGCCTATGATGGGAACCTTGTGTGGCTGCCCATGACTAAGTATCAAAACGCGCGTCGTGCACAAACTCAGAGAATTCCCCTTGCCCCTTGGTGTTGCAGCGGTTCGCCTCCTAAAGCTGGCGGTGATTGGCTTCCAGTCCAGTGATTCAATTCAGTTTATTAAGTAGCGAATTTGTATAATTTACCAGTAAAAGGGATGGGCTTAGATATATATATATAAAGTATACCATAATAATATATTATACATATATATTATATATTATGTTCAAAAGAATAGACAGTGATATGCGATAAATACAACTATGTATATGTTGTCATATGAAATGAATAGCATAAAATGCGAGCTGCGCACTCAATTAAACAGTCTTTGTCAGGTTTCAGTGTCAGTCAATTGTCTGGCCAGCCACAATAACTGACACGACCTCGTCCTGGCTTGTCCTGACCAACTGACTGACTGGCATATGAGAAGGTGCAACTGACAATGCCAGAATTTGCATAATGTAAACGTAACAAACAAGAAAACAGCTTGTGGCAGCCATTGAATCGGTTTGTGAAGCTTTCACACGGATACATTGCACTCTTCAAGTGAATTGTTGCAATTGCCAGGATAACACAGAGCCAACAGGCTGGACGTCACTTGAACTTTGCCTTTCAGTTTGGAGCACATTGTTAGACCTCGAGAGGTGGCAAGAAGTTGGGCTTAAGCCTTAAGTGCGATACACCTGCATAAGCAATGCTCAACCACATTACGTATACGCCGCTTGTAACTCAGAGATTACAGCTTGTATGCAGCTCTAACATGTAAATAGCTCATTAAAAGTTTTACACACACACACATTCACACACACAGCCTGACTGAGGCCATTTATTAAATGTTAGCTTTACTAAAATTTCACGTGGGCAAACATTTTGCTATAAAACAAACGAGCGGCGCAGACAAGTAGACAAAAAATATCATGAGGCTGGGGCAGAGGGAAGGGAGGGCGCAGAGGAAGAGTGCATACTGCCGTGGAATATATATATATATGTATCGCACAACTTAGATGACATAGCACACAGGGCTGTCTACTTCCGCCTGGCTGTGCTCTCTCTCTCTCTCTCTCTCTCTCTCACTCTCTCTCCCTCTCTTTCGTTCTTTCGCTGTCTGTGTATGTGTTTGTTTTTTCACTGCGCCTGCAGCGCAACACTTCCTGTTTACATAAACAAACACGTCAATGTGTCTGACGTGCAGCTTACCCTCCTACACCCTCCCTCTCCCCCTCCCTTCAATGTCGCTCTCTGTCTCTTTTGTACAGCTCCACCCCCTGCGTGGGCGCCCTCACATGCATACAAATTTTTGCATTAGCTCAACAAGGATTTTGTTTTCAATATTACAACATCACGTGGAGGACAACGTTGTTGTTGCTGTTGTTGTTGTTGCATGTCAGAGGACGCATTGAAAAAGTTAACTTTGCCTGCAGGCAGCTAAATAAATTTGAAAATGTTTTCAAATTGATATTTTTAATGATTCATTGTGGGCAAAGTTTATGCGATGTCCAATATGAGATATTCAATAAACACTTTTAGCTAACATTAGGATGCTCGAAATCGATTTATTTTTTTGGTCCAAATGAACTTAGAAGACCTCGATTTGTGCAACCACAGTCAAGCTTGAAACTTGAAGAACTGAACAACTTTAACGCATACGAAATTGTTGCAAATGTTGAAAACATTTTTGAGCATTTCGCCTTTGCAGTTGCATAGTTTGCTTCGTTTGCGTCTTGCAAAACTCTTGGCAACATTATTGGCACAAAAATATTTTTCATTTTAATTAAATTGCATTCTCTCTCATCCGAGCGCCGCTCGACGTCCGCCCCCGGGGCTTACATCCCACTTGGAATTTCAGTTAATCAAACGCAGCGTTCTACATGAAAATGCCTAATTGTATTATTACATAACTTAGCTTTGAGACGACGAGTCTGAAGACAGAGATGAGCGCGTGTCGTGTCACGGCTCGCGGAGTCACGAATTTATTTACAGTAGTCTTCAAACTTTAGAAAAGGAATTCATTCCTATAAATTATAGAAAATGAGAAGGAAAACTTTAATTTACTTGTTTATATTTTAGATATAAAGACTTATTTGAGCATTTTTGATTCGTGTCACGCACCGATCTCTAGGCAAGTCGTGCCTGTGTCAGCGTTGGCAACTGCCATAATTCATTTGGCACTCGATACAAAAGTCGTGCGCAATTAATTCACGCGCCCGTTATTGATAAATCAATGCGAGATTCGCTTTCAAAGGATAATTAATGCGTCGCCCAGCAACGCGACCTGCTTGTGACAGCAGTAGCAGAAGGATATGTGCTCTCGAACGAGTGTGTATGGGTGTGTGTGTGGGTTTCCTTCTTCCTTATTATAGCCTACTTCGGCAGCACATAACCAACCAATTAGTTGCAAACAACATGTTATACAATATTTCGGGGAAAAGCCGTTCACACTTAACTGAAATTTTAACGAAAAACGACTTTGCAATCCTCTTATAAACCATTTCGCATTTATAATAAATAAAAAAAAGAGAACGTGAGTTCTCTTTTGTGCGCACACAGCGGCCAATAAAGCCTTGAACTGATTTCGTTTGAACGCACGAAGGATATGCTCGAGCGGAATTCATGTGGAGACAAGCTTTTGTAATTAAATTAGCATTAATGTTGTCGCTGGGATTATGGACTGCCAGCTCACTCAATACCATTGTCGTCATCATCGTCTTTTCTCCCTGTGCCACTTCATTAAGGATCGCTCAAACGCCCCGTGGCCTGAGTATGTCTTCGTATGCAGTTAAGTGGCAGAAGGACGCACTTCATGCTCTCAGCTTTCTTCGGTTTGGCATTTTCTTGTGACGCTCTTTGTGTCATTAAGTCGTCGTTTTTATTTCGATATCAATTGCAACAGCGCTGCAAAATTATTATGGGATTTTATGAGCTACTTGCACCTAATTGCCGCTGCACAATTCTCAGAATTGTTGCATGCCTGCCAACGGGCCATAAATAAACGCCTACTACAGCAATGGCAGCAGAAGTTGCCATGAAACTTCTGTGCAAATACGCTGCCAAGGATTTTAACTCTTTTAACAATGTGCAAAAGAATGTATTTCTTTTACGGAAAGTCCCTATTGCTCTACGTCCGTTTGACTGCATGAACACAATTTTTTATTTACTGATATGATTTTGAAATTTTAGAGTCACCAAGTTAGTGAGTATAAAGAGAACTGAGCAGAGTATTGAGCAATCTGTTTTACCAGGCTCAAACGTTCTTTTCGTTTTTAGCTTAATTTTACAAACAGAAAATAGTAAAATGAAAGGAAGCGAAAAGTTGGAGCTCAAGTTGAAGGAAAATTTTTAGCTTTAGGAAAATAAATTCGTTGCAATGCAGAGCAAGAAGTTAAACCAAAGGAAAAAACGGAATTACTAGTTGAATCTCAAATACTCTTTCTATGTAAATCCAACGTTAATTTAAATTGAAAATTAATTCTGGCCCAAAATTGGTTATTAAGTAAAATTATGTAAATATTATTTTGAGATAAATAATTTAGGTAAAAAATGTTGTTAATCAAAAAAAAGAAGCAAATCCCCATGCAAATTAAATTTAAAGAAATGTTTCGAACGTGTCAAATAGAGTCTAAATTAGCCCCCAATAATTTTCAAATCATATTTCGAAAAAGGATCATGTTGCTAAATTTATGACAATCTTAATGACATAATTATTTTATGTGTCAGCTGTTGGAAGGAGTTCGTTTTGACGGCAAAAAGGGAAACTTTTCGGACGGAAATATGGGAATATATACTTACTAACATTTGTGTTTGGGAGTTGTTGCGTGTGTCTGTGTGCTTATGTGTGTGTATGTGCGTCTGTGTGGTCTGTTTTGTATGCATGTTAGACTATTGGAGTTTAAGTCCTTGGGTTGGTTGAAGGTTTGGGCGAGTGTTATTCAAGCAAATTGCAAGTGTAAATATTGCAACAGCAAGTAGCAGCAGCAGCGACAGCAGCCAGCAATAACAACAAATGCGACCCTTGTTGCAGCTGTGTAAACAGGGGTAATAACAACAACAACAACATGCCGATATTGCTGACGTCAGAGGACGCAAACAAGCACAAGCAGTACACAAATAACACACAAGCAACACCCTGGCACACAGAGACATACCCAAATGCATAAGCTCTTCTCTCCTTCCCCTCTGGCCAACTGTGCAGACAACTCAGCTCAACTGAACGCAACTGAAGCGAACTCAATGAAAGCGAGCGACCAACCAAAATGGCCGCACCGGAAGTCGCTGGCCGCCATTTGCTTTGCTGCTGCCGCGCGTGCCATTCAATTTGATCTGATTTTATTGCTGTTGCTGCTGCTGCTGCTGCTGCTGCCTTTATTGCCGTTGTCGGCTGTATGTTGTGCAGTTGTTGTTTCATCATCTGGTATATATAATTCAGTTTGTTTGTCGGCATTGCTTGTCCCTGGCAAACGAAGTACACAAATCATTAGCTGCTCCATTAAAGCAGCCAATGAGCAAAGTGACCAAAAAGGATTTGCATTAACCGCTTTCCGCTTATTCTATTTTGTTTATTCAGTTTATTTGCTAGCCCGATTTTTCGGTTACCGAAAAAAACCAGCGAGAATTTTGATGCATACATAATTGCGATATATAAACACAAAAAAGGATACATGTCAAAGATAATGGCAGCTTGTTAACTATATAATATTATAATCCCATCAATATCAATAGCTGTCAAAAGTAAAAGTGCAAACATAAATGCAAAATAATTAAATGTCGATGATAATGTCGACAATGCTGGGCAAGGGAAGGTAGATAATAATCCGAGGCACAATGTATTCACATTTGAGTGCCAAGAATATGAATTGGAGTATGTTCAAAATTTGGAAAATGTATTTATATTTACATTTGGTATAAGAAACCATACAATTATAAAAATGCTCTTTGGGGTAAATCCAGTAGAGGCGTTTCCGTATATATATATATATATATATATAATCAGGCTGACTGTATCACGATTAAATCAAGTTAATTCCAGGCTATCACGAATCGTTTTATTTCCCCGGAATTGATATTTATTAATTTCAGCTGCTTTTTAGCTTATCTTGTTGGGCTTACGAGCCAAAGAGAATAAATTTATACAGAAATAAAGCTTATTGTTTTCCCCTCGTTACCAGAACTTGAAGGATATCGCCTCTTAAATTAATTGTAGAATTATGTTTGGTCTTATATTTATCTATAAGTTAATCATGGGCGACTTGAACCCACTGGGATTGACTAGGTAAATAAAATTCTCTTTCCCATAGCATAGCAGCACGTCATTAAACACAGGCTTTGAAAATAGTTAATAACAGACAGTAATTGATTATTTATTGTCGATGTAAGCCTTGATTAATGTTCGAATTTTTTTGAAATTTAATTAACATTTTTCGAAATTAATTAATATTAATTAATGTATGTAAAGTTTTTAATGATTGCAGCTGTCTATGCCCATCCTCTTATGTATGTTCAGACTAATTGGGGTTGGGAATCAACTTTGATGCATTCAAAGCATTTGCTTGTGACTTCATTGAAATTGCGCAAAGCTCCAAATTCAATTTAACTTAGCTGTGTCTGATGTTGTCTGCTCTCCTTTGCAAACTCCTTCGCTGAATCTTGAGCAGTTGAGACTACACGGCGTATACTTAATGCCCGTCTAATTAGTGTGCTAATAGGCTGGCATTACGCATACGGCGACACGTTACATGTGAATAAGTACTTGACTTAGAGCGCATTTTTTACTTGCTCTACTTTCAGCAACAACTGTAATTGTAAGAGCTACTGCAACCGCAGCCACAACAACAACAACAACAACAGCAACAACAACAACTGGAAAAGCAACAGCTGCAGCAACCGCAGAAACACTTGTTAAGTGGTAGGCGCGAGGCTAAGTAAACAGCAACGCCTTCACATTGGATTACGCGCAGTTTTACTTTAGACCAGAGCCAATTAGTGGCCAACAGCAACAACAACAACAGCAGCAGCAACAACAACAACAACAGCAGCAGCAGCTAGCGCAGCTACAGACGCAGCAGACGCAACAACAGCTGCAGTTGCAGCGACAGCAACAGCAGCAAGTGCAGCAGCAATTGCTCGCCCAACAACAGCAGCAACTGCAAATCCAACAACTGCAACAACAACTGCTGCTGCAACGGCTGGAGCGTGAGTTGCAGCAGCAACAGCACCAACAGCAGCTAACCCAACAGCAGCAGCAAATCCTCTACCATCAGCGACAGCACTACGAGCGTCTGAGCACACCTGGACGACATCGCTGGCTCACCAGCAGCAATCACTACGGTTACACGCCATTGCAGCAACACCACCAACACAAACAGCAGCAGCAGCAACACCAACAGCAGCAGCAGCAACAGCTGCAGCAGCAGCAGCAGCAACAGTATAGCTATTACTTCAGTCGCGGCAGCAGCAGCTCCAGCGGGCTGGGTCTCGGCTTGGGCGTGGGCTTGGGTTTCGGTCTGGGCAGCAGCAATCTAGCCAGCTGGTACCATCTGCCGTCCTCGTCGGCGCACATTTACATTGGCAGCAGCAGCACTGGCGGCGCTCCGTATCCCTATCGCCTAGGCTACAGTGGTGGCGGTTATCCTGCTGCAGCGCTGATCAATTTCGACGCGTCGCCCACGCCGCTGTTAGCATCGACGGGCAGTTCACCTGGTTATCTGCCGCCTCTGCCGGAACCGGTGCTGCCACCACCTCCGCCAGCGCCCAGCGTAGCCACCGATTACTACTTTAGCAGCAGCAGCAGCAGCCGACCGCCCGCAACAGTCGCAGCCGAGCCGTTTCAGGATTACGCAGCGGCGGCGGTAGCAGCAGCGGAAGAGGAGCTGCAAGCTGGCGGCTATCGCTACAAGGCCACGCCACGCCGGCGCTACGACGCCTACGACAACTACGGCTACCTGCCGGGCCTTGCCAGCACAACCGAGGACGAGGACGATCTGCTTGAGGAGTGCCTGCCAGCGGCTTTGCTATCCACGGACTGCGAGAGTCTCGAGGACGTGCGCTTCCTGCAATACAATAGCAATCACCATCCGGAGTACGACGACGACGACGACGAAGAGGCACAGCTGGCGCACATACTCGATCTTGATCTGCCCGATTTTCTGCGCCCTTACAGCAGCAGCAACAGCGGCGGCGGCAGCGGAAGCAGACACAGCCACAAAACGCCGCCTCAACACGAATATCAAACGGAGCACGGCGGCTCAGCCGGAGCAGGAGCAACCGGAGCAGCGGGTGGAGGAGGAGGAGGAGGAGGAGCAGGGGGTGGAGGAGGAGGAGGCGGCGGCAGCAGGAACGAAGCCGGCGGCGCTGGCAATCAATCGCATCGTGAAACGGAACAACAACAACGCTATCACCACCACCAGCAGCAGCAGCAGCAGCAGCAGCAACAACAACACCAACATCATCAGCACCAGCATCATCAGCATCAGCACCAGCACCAGCATCAGCAGCAGCATCAGCAGCAGCAGCAATCGCAGCAGCAACAGGCCTATCAGTCCTACCAATACCCCTCGCACGACAGCTGCGAGGGCTTCAATCAATTCGCCAACGCCAGCAGCTGCCTGGGCAATCAGAGAATGATGGTTAGCAAGCTGTGGAACAGCTGCTTTCCGGAATTTACGCCGGATCACGTACATCGGCATAACTTCTATCTGTGCCAGGTGAGCGGCAATGAATACTCTGATATCTTTTTGCTCGAGTAAGATCAGCTTAAATGAGGCTGGGGCGTAAGAAATGAGGATCGAGATAATCCCTAGGCATCCTGATCCCATGACCCTTTTTTTTTTTGGCTGTTTTCGAGCGTTCTCAGTTAATAGGGTTAAATTGTAGTGAGAAAAAGAAGGGTAGTCAATTAATGGTACTCGGCAGATGGATCGTCTTAGTAAACCTGTCGGATATAGAGTTGCAGGGATGTAGGGATGTAGGGCCTTGGCTTTGTAGTCGGGTCAAATAGCTGCTTTGATAGTTTATCAACTTAAATTAAATTAATGTAAACATATTCGTCATGCTTATCGCTTGGGGATCACTTAAAACTAGTGCTAAGCGATCCATGGTTATGTGTTTTAGGTGAAGACCCAAAGAAATCAGAATACAAGGCGTATTTTTTTTTCCAGGCAGAAATTTTCTTATTGAAAACAATTTTGAATCTTTCACTAATATCTATCATCCCCCACAAACTATGATGCATAGTGGCAGCGCAATACTCAGGTGCGTATTGTGTACCTGTTTTATCGTTGGATAACGGCGATAACCTGTTTGGCGGCATTGGTCTGCTCGCTGCTGGACATTGGACGCACGGAGGAGCACTTCGAGCACCATTATGCGAAGTGGTGGATCTACCTGACCCACTGGGGACTGCTGTTTTGCACTGTGCAGGCATGGCTGGCCGCTTGGATAGTCACCCAGGGCATGATGGTGGAGCGTGAGGACTTTGAGGTTGTGCGCCAAGCGAAGAAGAGTCGCCTCCATCACCTCTACTGGGTGCTCTACACCTGTGCGACAGTGTACGCCTTTATTGTCACCATGTGCTACTGGCTGCTCGTCCACAATCCCGGTAAGTAACGATTTATCCAAATGAATATAGTTAGCTATAAAATACTTAGTATGCGACATTGCTGGCAAAAATGATTTGCTGTTTTATAAATTCAATTTCCCGGTCCGTACGTGATGCTAACGGATCGCATATGACAAAACGCCACGCCCCTGCAGCTCTCGCTCTCAATGGAGTCGCTGGCAATGCGACTCACTACCACCAATCCGCCGACAGTGCAGCCAAAGGCAATGTACATTTTGGCCGCTTGCTCCAGATAGCCGAACCTCGAGTATATGTCACGGGAGATCTTGTGCAATCGAAACGTATTGTACATGGTCCACGGTCCGAATAGCGTTACGCAAAAGGTCAGCGGGAGATACAAGTGCATGGCCAGGCCAGTGAGCAGGGCCAGAGTGCTGGTGACAAAGACCGTGACGCTTAGGAATATCAAAATCCATAGGTTCGTCGTCAAGTAGGCGGGCCTCCAGAGGCCCAGAGGCGTGTAGATTAACAACACAGCCAAACCGATCACAATGATATACCAGGTCAGGTCCAATTCACGGACGCACAGGAACATAATGAGCAGCGTGAGGCTCTCGAACATGCACAGGAAGATGATCCAGTTCAGGGGATACATGAGCTGCAGCCGGCGGAAGCCAAGAAATGCCAATGTCAGATTCACCCAGGTCAGCAAGAGCAGCAGCATATTGAAGTTGCGCTCCGGTCCATTCAGCTGCGGCCGCCAGCGATAGGTGGAGAGTAGCCACTGCATCGTGGACAGAGCCACCTGCACGACCAACAGCACATACACGTAGGAGAGGAAGGCCAGCCGGGAGGGTCTATACGTGAACATTCTGATTATGCGACCGGGGTTGCGTTCATGCCTCGATTCGGGCTGCGGCAAATACTGAGTGTTCAGGCTTGGCTCGTACGAGATGGCATTCTCCTCGACCGGAATGTCGATCTTCGTGTTGCGGTGCTTCCTTGGGTCCGTTTGCGTCTCCGCTGACCGTACGTAGAGCTCCGGCGCTGACGCAGATTTGTTATACATGCTGCTTGTCAAGTAAAAGTTCCATTTTCCGACCGACTGACAAACTGACTAACTGACAGCCACTCACAACTACGTACACTTTGATAACAAAAAACCAAAATCAAAAAAAAAAAAAACAAAAAACAATAAAAACAACAAAAACATCGATACGAGCGAGAAAATCAATTTGATGGGCGAACCGCCACGTGGACTACCGCAGACCGTGCGCGGTTATTATCTGCAGGTATATGGAGCTACCCTCGCCTTCATAGTTGTGTCCGTGGCGATGGTGCATATCGTTGGCCAGGCGCGTGCCGATCCTGCGGAACGGGACAATATTGCCGCCGCGGTATTCTTTGTGCTCGCCTTTGTCTCATTCTGCATCTATGTGAACGTGATGTGGCTGCGTCGCCACTTTCCATACAACTGGGCTTCCTGCTGTGCCATAGCCCTGATGCTTATCCTGGGCAATGCCTTTATACTGATCGGACAAGATGAGGAAGATCTGCTTGTGGTACTGGAAATCATTTGTCTGATGGCGCTCTTTCTGCTGCTCGGATCTTGGGTTCCCTCGCGTTTCTCCGCGTTCCTATTCATGGGATTCGTTTGGCTAATCGTGACGGTCCTGACGATCTCGATCCTATTGATTATATGGGCTTGCAATGAGGGTGACAACGATTTGCCCCTTTACATTGTCCATTGCGTTTTGTGGTGTTTCATGTGCCCAATGCTGATGTTTGAGGGCCAAGTGATCAACGGCCTTCTCTGGAATTTTAAGCCAATTTTCGATATTCCGATCTGTTCGGTCCTGTTGCTGATCAATTATTTGGCCTGCTATGCATATGTGGATGCCACCCAAGACATTATATTTGCCTTAGAAATAGCATCCTCCTCCAATAAGCGAGTCCTGGCCCGCGGATTTGCCAATATGTAGAGCAAGCGGATCGAAGGTCCAGTCGCCAGTTTTAATCTTAACCCACAAACATATCATTCAAATCTAGCTAGTGAATATTTGTCGTCACAATTGTAACATGTTATTAAAGCCATACCAAAAACTGGTTCAAGAATAAACATAAATGCTACACGGCGATAGAGCACATGCAGGTCTCATATTCTAGTTTACTTCACGATAGCTCTTCTTTTTCTAATACTTATTGATTGCCGGTTGCAAATACAATACTTCAATTCATAATTCAAGGAGCTCGGAGAGTAGCCCAATATCAAACATTGGAACGTTCAGACGGACCTAAAGGCACAGACTAGCTCAGCTCGACATCCATCAATAATATAAAGTATAATTTATGCAGTTGGAGATGTTTCTTTCTGTCCCATTTTTTAACACTTTTTATATCCGAACTTTGAATCTAACTTCACAACTTGTAACTTGTATCTTGTAACTTGTGTCTAACTTCACAAAAGGCGCTAAAAATGTGCTCTTATGAGAAAAATAAGTTATCTGTGTTCATATTTTTACTCTCCGAAATATATATAAATACCGATTATGACTCGAAGATAGATCCTTTGACTACCTTAATTCTTTTTAGCCATTTTAATGGGCACACGGCGGAGTCAATACATTTACTCTCTCTCTCTCTCTCTCTCTCTCTCGCTTGCTCACTTCAATTCTTTCTTCCCGCTGCAGACATCCACAAAATCGACGCCTTGAACATCATGGTGCACGTTCTGAACTCCATAATAATGCTCATCGATCTGGCCATTGTGGGGCATCCGATTAAGATGTGCCACGCCTACTTTACCACAGGCATTGGACTGGCGTATGCCATTTTTACGGGCATTTACTTCTTGGCCGGCGGCACAGACAGGTAAGCATATGGCATATTCCAGTTGGATGTCAATTAATTGTGTTGTTTGCGATTGGGAATTCGAATAGGAAAAACCAAACTGCCATTTATCCGATGATGGACTGGACGAAGCCGGGCAAGGCCATCATTGTGACGGCGTGTGCCATCATTTTCACGTTCTTCGTGCACTTCTGCTGTTATTTGCTCTACCGCGGACGCGTCTGGCTCTTTACCAAGCTCTGCATACGCGGACGCCACAATCGCGATGGCGAAATGGGCGAGGGGCTAAACGATGACTCCGGCTCACGCATGGGTGGAGGCGGTGGTTTTGTTGGTGGTGCAGCTACTGTAGTTGGCGGCGGCGGCAGCAGCCAGGACTATGCACATCAGCAGCAGTATCCCATTGCGCATACGGAGCAGCCGCGTGCCATTTCACAGCAGCCGCCATCCAGCTACCAGGTGCCTCCACAATACTCCGGCTATTTGCAGCAGCCTGTTGTGGCCGGCGTCAATGTCGGCGTGGTCAGCGCAGATGGAGTCTATCAGCCAATTGGCACAGACTCAGGACGTACGAGCGGAGGTGGAGCCAGCGGCGGTGGCGGAAGCGGTGGCAGTGCAGTCGATGGCTCTGGCAAGCACAAGAGTTCTGGTTCTGGTTCTGGCTCCGGCTCTGGCTCGGCACTGACACGCACTGTGGCCCATTTGGATGCTGCACAGCGGGAGCAGTTCCTCAATCCCAACAAGATCGTCGAGTATAAAATGTAAAGGCGTTGTACCCGGCACCGGTATACGTTCCGCTTGTCCATGAAGTTTCTGGAGAAGCACTGTGCGCAATGCGAGGCGGCGCGTCAGGCTGTCAACGAGGAGCAGCGCCACCTGGCGACGGCGGCCGATTCGCACGCGCACAGTGGTTAGTTTAAGATTTGCTTTTGCTGTTTAATTTCCATGCCAGCTGCCAGCCAGGCTCAATAGGTCAATAGGTATGCTTAGTGTTGCATTTGGGTTTGTGGTTGCCTGGTTTTAGGCAGTTGGTATTGTAGCCAGTATTTGGTATTCGTAGCTGTAAAGTAGTTTCGTAATTTTGTAAAAGCTTTGCCAGTTTTTGTAAGTGTGGCCGCATTGCCAGCTACAGTAGTAATTCGTTTTGTGCGCAAGCGCCGACAGCATTGTCAGCCAAAGCAAAATAATATACTTTAACTATTGATGTATGTAGTTGTCGTATCCTGAATAGAGCATATAGACAGACTCATCGATTTTGAGCAATTTCAAATATTTTCAATGGACTAAGTTGAACATTCTTATGTTGCAACCAAAATACCAAAACACACAAGCACCTTAACACAGCCCCTAATTTAATTGACAGCAATTGTGTTCAGAAATAAGTAGGCAACTATATAAACACAGAGCGTCCATTAATTAATAATTCAGTTGAGCTAAGCTAAGCTATCAAACAAGAACACATACTGCCTAAAATGTGGCACACACACACATACCCATTAACACTCTGTTTCACCCACAATTGTTTATATCTTGCTTCATTTTTGCCAAACATTACACACATACATATATCGGTGCAGGAGTACAACAGACGCGTGCCAAGTGTCCTGGCTGCAGCAATTAAGGAGTGAGGTTTTTCGTTGGAATTCGCTCGCATAAGGGACACTGTGCAACTCACACACACAAAAGTATTTTTTTTTAAATAATATATATAAATAAATGTTAAGTTTAGGACATGCTTGGCACTGCTTATAGTTTACCAAAAAGAAAATAAATAATAATATAAAAAAAGCATAAGGCACAGAAAGAATAAAAAAAAAACCAAATATAAATTAGCTAACGAGTAACTGAGTATTTTGAAGCAATCGCAAATGCTGCGTAAAACCAAATAAATAAAGTCAAACGAATAATAAGTGCACGATATTGAAAATTATAATGGATTATCTAAATCAAATATTTAAACATTTAAAAATAAAACAAAATAGTTTGTATGATGTTAAACCAGTTGAATGCAGTATTAAACTGAGTAATGAACAATAACTTATTGCTCAGAGCCCAGATAATAGTTGTACGATAATGTTAATGTTGAATCGAGGGCCCTAAAGATTTGGGATTCGCATACCTTGTACCACAATTCACAATGACCTGAACACCTGGACAACAAGAACCTACACTTACAAAAAACAAATACAAACCATTTATCAATTGAATAGAGTTAATGCAGCTACTAATGTATATGTATTTTAAATATTTATGTGTATGTAAATATTTGTTTTTCATATATGTTCTATATATGCATATATAGTGTATGCATACGTATATTATAAAAATGCATACGCAGATGTTAGAAAAAGAAATCAAAACAAACAAAAAATACGTTCTATGTAAAATGTTGTAATACAAAACTTGAACAGAACAAAAACAAAGCCCGAAAACCAAAATCAAATGCAATGAATTAAACTCGTCAAGAGGAATGTGTTAACAAAACAAATAGATACAAAATGATATTTAACTAAATACATACACACTCAAACATATATTAATTCAAAATCCAAAAATTACAGAGTGTGCTCTATAAACAATATCCGAGTACAGAACATATAGTACATACACATATAGTATATGCACCAATGCATGTATTCGAAATATGTGTAAATTACAATTAATTTTCGATAGATTTACATAAAAGTAACATAATAAATAAATGGCACATACATACATAAACACACACACAGAAACAAACAGAAACAAAATATATATATATATATATAGCAACAGTTGAAATAAATTTTCAAACATTTAGTATGTGTGTATATGTTAAGCGTTTTTCCGTTAAATATTTTCTGTTTTACATACCTTTGCAGTGGATTTTTGACAACAAATTTATATTACGGTAATGTATAATGAAGTGGTTTCTCAGATCCCAAAGAGGTCTATTTTGCTGATTTCATGTCCGTCCATCCGATTTGACCTCTCAGACTTGAAGCTATAGATATATAACGATCCAAGCTCAAGTTTCCCAAAAATATATCCAAAAAGTTTCACCGATTTTGATTTGATTTAACTGCTGAAATAAAAGCATTCTATGTTATACTAAGTCTGCATGGGTATTTGAATCTCGGTGCGCCGAAAATGTATTTGTTATGTTTTATTTGTAATCATGTTTTTAATAAATATTCGTATGTGAATATATTTTGGCATTTCGGAAGTTAATTTGTCTTTTGTGACCAGTTTTTGTTCGGGTTTTAGCAGAACTGAAAATATGCTTCATATTTTTGCTTTGCAACCTTTAGGATAAATGTATAAATGTATGTTTATATAGACTGAATATTATTAAATAAACATCAAAATGGAAGTAAATAAATCAACAAATTAAATCAAGTTATTCATATAAAAATAAATCACTTTCCGATTGTGTAAAATATATTAAAAGAAATGTTGTATTAACCACAAAATAAAACAATAAGCACATATCAATAATTAACAAATTAAAAGCGAAATAAAAACAAAATCAACACTGATATTCTACAAAGCGAAACTCAAAGTTGCATACTCTAAAACTAACAAAAAAAAAACCCCCCTAATTAATGTTGACCTCATCAAAATACACCAAATACACACATAATAAATGTTTAATAAAACATAAATGTTAAGCAATCATAATAATACTTATGTATACACATTTAAGTACATGCGAATAAGTATAAGGAAAGAGAAGAAATTTAAATATTATATTTTGTAGATTTTTAGTAACGTAGCTACACACACACACATATATCTACTATAAACCTACTATAATCACACACACACACACACACGATCATCAATATGTACTCGATATGAGAATATTTACTTGTATTCAAATGTTCAAGCAACAAACGAGAAATGGCAAAGCTTTAAGATACTAGAACCTTGGACGGAAACTTTTTACAACTGGATAAATGTAACAAATGTTTCAGTTCTAAGCAAGAAAGTTGGCTCATTACACTGACGTATATTTAATAATGTAGTGGCAGTTCCCATTAATTGCTCAGCAGCAGGCATTAGCAGTTAGTGAAAAGCTATAGATAAATCCGAGATCAAAAAACTTATAAACGAATTGCACTTCAAGAAAAAATAAAAAACTAATATACAACATTAACAATTTTAAAGCCCCCAAAAATTAAATGCATGCGTTGAAAATAAAAGCAAATGCGTATACAGAGATATACCTTTCAATATAAGTAATTATGAAATTTAAACATGAGATAAATTAAACATAAAACCAATTGTTTACCTTTAAAGTATTTCTCCGCATTTAAGCAAAACGATAACAAACCAAAAAAATGATTTCAATAATTGTTCAAAATAATAGCACTAAATGCGTGGAGCCGAAATTACAAAAGCATATTTAAACCAAGGTTTTTATTAACACCAACTATGCAAGAACGACAAACTTTTCGTTGTGGAAATTGTAGATGGATTTAACACACCCTCAGATAAGCCTAGCAACTGGAGAACTACATGTATTATTACCAAAAATAAAAACAGATATATATATATATATATATATATATATATATGTATAAATCAAAAGCAAAAGTAAACCCATAAATACCCACATATACTTTAATAATATGAAGTATAACTACCTATTATTATGTATTTGAAAGCAAAGCATTGTGAATTAGTATTAAAACAAGCAAACAACAAACAAAAGGTGGTAAATAAAGATTGTAAACGAAATAAATAAAATATAAAATACAAATCGTATTTGCCGAGTGGTAGGGTACCGTGGGTAGAGGGGAATCTACTTTAAATTTAAATTTTTCGTATAGGCAATGAGATTCTTCAAAAACTATATACATATATATTAACTGTATGTGGTCGGCGTAGACGCCCTCTGTTTGTTCTATATTATTTTTATACCCTGTTCCCATTGAAAATGTTTAAAAAGGGTATTATGTATTTGTGCAAATGTATGTAACAGTCAGAAGGAAGCATCTCCGACCCCATAAAGTATATATATTCTTGATCAGCATCAACAGCCGAGTCGATCTAGCCATGTCCGTCTGTGTGTCCGTCTGTCCGTATGTATGAACGCAAGGATCTCAGAAGCTATAAGAGCTAGAGACTTGAAATTAGTAACTTGATAACTTGCCCCGTTTCCAAGTTATCGATAAACAATATATCGCTATCGAAATCCTGTCTTTTTGCAATTTCGGCAAATAATATGAGCTAGAGTCACCAAACTTGACATGTAGCTTCTAGAATAGTATATATATATGAAGTATCTTTCATTTAATACCTATCGCCTGTTGGAAGAAGAGGGTTCAGGGTATCCCCTAGTCGGGAGCTCCCGACTAGATCCTCTTACTTGTTATTAATATCTTAAACAAAAAAGTCTTATGAAAAAGAAAATCAGTAATAAATATAAAATTAATCTTCTGAGTGACTGACTTGCTGAACAAATTTTAGGGAGCACGGATTTGACACTTTGACAGCAGGAAAATACACGATAAATAGACACACATTCAGCATTATCTATAATAAAATTGTTGGATATCAAATTAAAAGTAAGCCCTGCGTAATAATTATATTTTCAGCATCCTTATTAGAAAACATCCATTATTTTTTATTTATTTATTTCTCTCAACATCCTGGTGCTACAAGATGTATTATTATTTAAAGCTCTAGAATGTATTTTTTACATATATGTATGCCTTGTGTATTTTGTAAATTAATATTATGTTTTTATTAATTATTATTATTAGTAAAACGAAAAGAATTTGATTTCTTCGTACTACAGAAACATAATATGAATAATGTTTGCACAAAGGGCCCAAAAAACCTGATTTCTTTAAGAAATTAAACTAAACAGAAAAAAACGATCATCCGTTGGCCTCAGTGTGCGCGTTGCCAGCATTATTCTTGAAGAAAATTTAGTTATCATAAATTTATTAATATATGCTGCGATTTTTAATACTTAATACAAAATCTATTTGTCGGTTTCTTTTAGTTTCATACATTTATAATTGATTTCTGTTTTAGCCATAGATACATTTAGTTTTACATTTATTTTTACTTTTTTATTAAATAATTAGTAACATAATTTGGTTTACTGCGCCTTAAAAAGTAATCATCATTTAAATGTATACATAATCACGTTCCTTTTCATTCACTTCACTTTTCCGTATTTCAAATCATACAAACAAAAACATACATAGGGAGACTGCGTAAGTTAAGTAATTACACTTTATATCACGTATGGGGGGTTGTGTATGGTTGGCAGAACTTGGACAAAAATAACAAAATGTTGTGCAAAAACAAAGTCAAGAACTTTTAAGTTAAGCGTACAAAAGTGCAAAGTAATTTAAGAAAGGAGATATTTAATTTTGTAACTGAAAATTCGTCGCTGGCTTAGACTTTTCCGTATCTAAGAGAGTTTTAAATAGGATGGCGGCGAGCATTTCTTGCGCAAGAACTTGATTATGTACAGCGGCAAGCAGGAGACGAGTGTAATGAGCGATACTTTCCAGAGAAAGTCGTATGACCAGATAAACTCCCAGTCTGCAAGCAATATAAACAATAAGATATAACAGATCAAATCTTTCCACGATAATACACACCGAAATACTCGTGCAGCACCGCCAGCGAGATGAGATAAAGCGCCAAGCTAAATAGTTCCGCTAAGACCATAAGCCTAGGAAGTAGAGACGTCAAAATTAACAGATAACAGTCAAACATTTTTTATAATATTCCTACCTGTGCCAGGTGCGCACCGTCAATGCCACCATGATGAGTTCTGTCATAATAAGCGCCGAGAAACTGATTGCTACAATGTGTATAAACTCATCGACAAAGAGTATAAGCGCGCCGTACATGATGACACCACCCTGGTAGATGCTGATAAGTACCCAAATGAAAAAGGTCTTATAGCTAAGACTACGTCCCTTGGAAAGATCCTTGTAGAGCTCCGGATACGTAACAGCTGTCTCCGATGTAATATCCTGATCTAGCACCAGGGAAAACACAGGAAACATGGTATACAATGTCGAATAGCCCACCATCAAGAAGCCCTGATACAAAGCCACCGAACTCAGATAAAATACCGCTGAGAAAACTGCCTGCAGTGTGGTAATTATCAATCCACGGTGTATTACGAACTGTGAAAGCGCCGCGGAGCGTTTGTAGCTGCGCCTTCCATGGATCAACAGTAACTTGGCGATGTGCGAGAATTGCGGAATGCTAAAGTCTCCTGCCAGAGAGGCCTGACGGCCTTCGCGCCCCTCGATGCCCACACCCGCATCCGCCTGCTGAATCATGCTAACATCGTTGCCACCATCGCCCACTGCACAAGTTCGCTTGCGTGTGTGCTTCTGGATAAGCGCCACAACCTGCGCCTTTTGGGTGGGCGAGCAGCGGCAACATACGACTGCCGGAGAAGCGGTGGCTAGTTCCAAAAACTCGAGTCGATAATACTGTAGGCAGACCTCCAGCGACTCGCCGGATATGACCAGCGCGTGGCCCTGCTTGCGCCGAAATTGATTTAGCTCCTGATGCGCCTCCGTCCGCGTCTTTACAGAGCGCAAAACATGTAGACCCTGGTTACGTCCGATCAGCTGCGATGACTTGGCAATGCAGCAAGCGGTTTCCAATTTATCACCAGTCAACATCCAGACGCGAACACCGGCGTTGCGCAACAGCTCAAGAGTGGGGCGCACATTCTCCTGCAAGCGATCCTCGACGCCTGTGAGACACAGCAGCTCCATTTCCCGCTCCAAGGACTCTGTTACCGCGGCCACCTTGGCCACACGATCCGTAATGCTAAGGCGTGCCGCATTATAGCGCATCTCAAAGTCGTTGTACTGCTCTTCGGTCAGCACCTTCTTGGCGACGACAAGCGTGCGCAGACCCTCCCGGGCCATGTTGCCAGACTCCTCGCTGAGCCAGTCGTTGTACTGCACAATCGTGGACATGACCACATCGGCACCCTTCAGATAAAAGGTTATCTGGCCGGACTTGCTTTCCCGCACTATAATACCCATTCGCTTGCTCTCGCTCGTGAAAGGAAACAGCTGCAGGATCTGATAGTGCAGCAGTATATCGTCTAAAAGGGATTTTAAATTAGTTAAGGCATCGGGAGATGATCTAGTTAGGAGCTCTTACTTTCTTCAGCAGCGGTCTTCACCTGCAGCGTCATGGTGTTCAGATCTCGGGCAATTAGTGTTAGGCCCACCTGCTCGGTCCACTTGACCAAGGCGATCTCATCGGGTGAGGCAGCCTGATACTGATGCTCCGTGTCAGTGCTGCCGGGCGCCTCAATGTTTATCACAGATTTGGTGGGCGAATTATTACCGCCAGTCACCGTCGAGGCAGTGGACACAGATCGATTGTCCTCTTCATCGCTCACCGGTGTCACATTGTGACACAAGGCCAGAGCACGTACCGCCTCCCACTCGCGCCAGCCCTCGGGACGACGCATGCGGTTTCCAGCAAACATTATCGGTTTAATTGACTCGCCGGCGCTGCTGGAGCTGGAGAGGCTGCCTTGTTGCTGCTGCTGTTGCAGTATATTCCCAGACAGTTTCTGTATAATCTGGCCAATGTGATGGAAGGTGTCGGCGTCGTGCGAGACTATGCCCAGATGTATCTTCTTGAAGACCATTTCGTTTTGGGTCAGCGTGCCTGTCTTATCAGTTAGCACATACGAGATGCGCCCCAGCTCCTCGGGTATGGTAGTGGAGCGCACCACAGTGCCTTTGATATTGTCATCGTTTTGCATTTGCCACGAGTAGAAGGCTTTTCCCATGTCGAGATTAACACGCAGACTGATCGGTATAATGTAGGAGAACAGCAGCACAAAGCGGAACATGTAACGATACCACGGACCCCCAAATCCCTTCAGCATCATCATGACCAGCGACAGGCCAAGTACGGCACAAAATAGCACCTGTTTTTGGGTAGACAACACTCTCGGTTAAACTTAAGTTTCACACATAACAATATATATTGTTACCTTGGTTAGTCCGTTAATCTCAGTGTCCAGCAGTCCCACTTTGGAACGGGGCTGTGAGTTATTCATCACGCTGCGTGTCTCACATCCTGTATAGATGACAATGCCTGTTGCGGTGCCGGCAGCAACTACTGTGTTGGCCCAGAGCGTGTTCTCCACGCTGAGTCCGGTGTCCTCGCTGCCGTCGGTCATGCAGAAGGTGGCAATGAAACTGTGTATATCATTCTGTGGCTTCTCCACGTAGAAGCTGGCATCGATGTTGTACAGGTCCGCGTCCCTGCAAAGCTTTTGCGTGTAGGGCACCGCTAATCGAGGCTTCCAATCGGTCTCGCCGTCGAGTTGATCGGTGCGCACAAAGACGGAGCCGCTGCGGTCGCTGGTGCGCAGCAAGATAAGATCCGCTGGAACTCGCTCGTTCTTCTCCACAATGATAACATCGCCCACTTTAAGTTTAGAGCTGGGCACCGATTCGTAGCCGGTTCCATGTGCAGCCGAAAGGCGTTTGTACTTCTGCGAGTTGACCTCATGATCGCGCTGATGTCGGCGCAGATCGTCCACCGCCTCCCGGCAGATAGTCACCATCAGCACAAAACCGAGCGGACCCCAGTAGGTGTAAGGGTAACCAATGCGTATGTCTGGTATAAACTGGGAGAGCGCCATCAGCAGAAAATACAGGTTGAGAAAAAAGCGAAACTGCTCGAACAGCACCAGCGGCAGGAACGTGA